TTTTTTATGTCCCGGTTTGGTCGCTTTATGTCACATCTTGATCATTTTTGTTTGCAAAGTTTACACAGAGGACAGTTCAGTCCACTAGGGATCATGAATATCTGCAGACGTTAACACACCGAGCGTCTGGATCATCTGTAGATAACGTTACAAATGCAGTCAGGGTTTGTATGTTTACTCTGTACGTAGCGACACTTGGCTTCATTCATTTGGCCTTTAAGCGTCACTGCAGGAACCAACTGAGTTTTAATTCATTCAAAAACGAGTCCAGGACCGAGTTTTATGGGCCGCGGCTCCCAGAAACACACGTTCTGAGTCCAGCTGAAGGCGGAGGAGGCTGGAAGCCGCCGAGACGCCGACCGCTGGAACGCCGCTTTAAATAACACGAAGCCACAGAGCGAGTCTGAGTCACTGCAGCGCCGGACGTCACCGGAAACATCCGCAGTTTGTTCTGCAGCGCGTCGTCGCACAGAACCAGACCTCAGAACCCAGCGTCTGTCGGTCCAGGTTCGGTTCAGGCGAAGCCACAGAAACCACCAGAGGTCAAAATAAGGTCACAAACTGGAACAATTTACTGAGATTTAGCTGATTGTTTGGTTTTAATCACAGATAATAGCGTGTAGAATGACTGAAAACAGTCTGAACTGGGCTGCACCGTTCGACAGATGAAACTATTTTATTGTATTTAAATCAGCAGGAAACACGTGTTTTGGCTTCAATACACGATGTATTGTTTTATAGTTTAGTTTATATTCAAATCAACAATAAATAGCATCATTTTGCAGATGCTCGCCCTTATTTAAAGGAAAAACAAATATTTATTATACGTATTTTTGTAGCTGTTACATGACAGATAATTATGACGGATGATGTCTGAAGTTAAATGAGCTGAAAGTAAAAATACTAAAACAGTAAAGACGTTTATTTGGTGTATTTTTGCAAGTTTCTTTGTATTTTTTTAAATTCATTTTTGCAACAAAGATAAAAAACAATCTGTAAAATTCAGAGTTTTTTTTTTTTCACAGTGCAGTTTGTGACACGAACAAAGTTTCAGGTAAAAACTCAAAATTTTTAGTGTATTTTTGTTTATTTACTTTTTCAACATAAGAAAAACAATCTGTAAAACATCAGAAAATTGTCAAAAGTTTGTTAAAAATAGGGGATTTTTTTACAGTTTATTTTTGCATGTTTTTGCAACAGAAAGAGAAAAAAATGTAAAATTGCTTATTTCAGTAAAACAAACTGCACTGTAAAAAAAGATACAGGCAAAACCTCAAACTTAAATTTTTACAGCGTATTTTTGTGTATTTTATCTATTTTTGCAACAGAAAAAGAAAATCTGTTAAAAAAAAACAACTTTTTATTCTAACAGTTTAATTTTGTGTGTTTTATCTACTTTTGCAAGACAAATAGAAAAACTAAGTAAAACTACAGGTTTGTTTTTTACAGTGCAGTTTATTTCTGACAAAGTTACCATTAAAAACTCAAACTCCATCGTTTAGTTTCCTGTTTTTAATCTGTTTGTGACAGAAAAAGAAAAAAATCTGTTAAAACAAAACAGGAAATTGTTCAAGTTACAATTAAAAAGTAGATTTTTGTAGTTTTTTGTTTATTTTATCTTTTTGCAACAGAAAAAAAACGTAAACTTCAAAAGTAAGCAAAAAAACAAAAAGATAAAGTTTCCGTTCTGTTTAAACGTCAGCATCAGGGTTCAGGTTTTGTTGCAGGATTCAGGTTTTGTTGCAGGATTCAGATTTTGTTGCAGGATTCAGGTTTTGTTGGAGGATTCAGGTTTTGTTGCAGGTTTAGGGTTCAGGTTTAGAGTTCAGGTTTTGTTGCAGAGTTCAAGTTTTGTTGCAGGGTTCGGGTTTTGTTGCAGGATTCAGGTTTTGTTGCAGAGTTCAGGTTTTGTTGCAGGATTCAGGTTTTGTTGCAGGATTCAAGTTCTGCTACAGGTCTGGAATTCAGGTTTTGTCACTGAGTTCAGGTTTATAGTTCAGGTTTTGTTGCAGGATTCAGGTTTTGTCACTGAGTTCAGGTTTTATTTAGGGTTAGGGGGTTGTTCAGCTCCTCCTGCTGCTGCACTCTGTCTCCCTGCGTGTTCTGGTGACCCAGACCGCCTCCCTGCGTGTTCTGGTGGGGTTCTGGTGGATCACCCTGGTGTCCCTCCTCGGAGCGTCTGCCGGTCATATGACTGAGCGGCGCTCGGTGGAGCTGCAGCACAAAGCTGGCTGTGTGCAGCGAGGGCGGGTCGGCTCTCAGAGGGAGTTGTCAGGAGGCAGAGCGGCAGCGAGCAGCGAGCAGACGGACGACATGCCAAAGTGGATGAGCTTCAAACTGTTCAAGGAGAGCAGCAGAGTGAGTAGAAAGCCCCGATTCAGCGCCGCTACAGGCTTTAGTCTGGACAGCAGAGCGACAGCAGCCTTCAGAGGCTTTGTTCTGATCCGGTCCGACATTTAGAGACTCAGAAGTGTTGAGAGAAACGTTCACGCTGAAGCTGCTGCTACAATCTGAAACGTTGACTTTCTGTGTTTTCTAGTCGACACTGTAAAACTAACCCGAAGGATTCAGCAGAAACTTTCAGTCAGTGGAGTCATGTGACTTTATTCAGCTTTGACCAAAATATCTGTAAAAGTTTTAACTTAATTAAATTCTAACTCCAGTCTTAATTTAACACATTATATAAAAAACCTGTTTACTGTTTATAAAGATGCAGATTTCTGATGCCGACGATTCACGTTTATATTTCTGTGATTTTACGACATATTATCTGTAATTTAAATAAAAATAAAATTAAAGGAGGTATTTAATGTTTTTTTTAATCCTTAATTGTTACAATTTTTCATAAAAAATACTTTTTGCTGATTTCAACACTAATTTGTGTAAATTTGCAGTGAAATGTAAATTTAATGTTTGTATTTTTATATGTTTTTGCAACTAAAAAGAAAAAAATATATAAAATTAATATTTTTCAGTCCTTAATATGTCAAAAAATGTTTAAAAAATCAACTAAATATCTCAAAATATCCCTAAAAAGCAAAAAAGAAAAAATATTTATTGCTGATTTTAATGCAGTAAAAATTTAAATAATTTTACAAACATTACAAAATTAAAAATAATAGTTTGTCTACAGTTAAAATGTGAATTAATATTTTAGTAGATGTTGTAACGAGACCAAACAGGAGAAATCAAACTGATGGTTAACGTTAAAAATCTGTAAAGGTATTTTTTTAGTTTTATTGGGGTTTTTGTGTGTTTTAATGTATTTGTGCAACAAAGAGGTTAAAAATAAAAAATAAATCTGCGAAATTACAGGAAGTTGTTCAAAAAGTTTCAGTTTAAAACTTGAAAGCAGAATTTTTCTTGTATTTTTTTGTATTTCATTAGTTTTCTGCAACATAAAGAGAAAAGAAATCAGTAAAATAACATTAAAAGTTTAACGCAAACCTAATTTTTTAGTGTATTTCTGTAGTTTTATTGGTAGTTTAGTGTGTTTTTGCAGGTTTTTGAGTGTTTTTATGTATTTTATCTGCAGTCTTTGCAGCGTAAACAGCAGTCTGTGCGTCAGACGGCAGGTTAGTGTCTCAGAGCAGCTCCGTCCAAACACACCAATCCTGATGTTGACGTTGGCTCTCTGAGCCTCGGTGTCTCCGGGAGTCCGAGTCCGAGTCCGAGTGTTGTGCAGCAGGTGTGGAGGCTGCAGAGAAACTCCCAGAGTGTGTGTCGCAGGTGTGATTGTTGACGGAGGCTCAGATTAATGGTTAAACTGGGCGTGTGTTTGCAGAGCGAAGGCCGGAAACAAACCATTAGCCTCGGCCGCCGCCGCGCAGCAGCAGCTGAAGCGAAGCCAGTCGCTCAGATTACAGAGCAGCAGCTCAGACTCTGTAAACACACGTTTAGCTTTGTGACTGCAGCGAGTCCACAGAGCTCCAGTCGGCTGCAGCCTCGGCTCAGGTCCCTGAACGCACCGCGGTCCGGCCGCTACGACAGAATCAGACCGACGGCTGCAGAGGAGTCACAGAGGAGAACCTGCTGAGCTTCAGGCGCTGAGTTCAGGCTGTTTCTAACCAAACACTTCATGAACCGAGTCATTTATTAATAAGATGGTTCCAGATGAATGAAATGATCCGTTTGTTGTTCAGATCTGGGTCTGTGTGGTCGGTTAGGTTCACTTTTAGTCGTTTTGTGTCACTTTGTGGTCGTTTTGTTTCAAGTTCACTTTGTGTCACTTTGTATTCATTTGACATCACTTCTGGTTATTTCCCGTCACTTGATGGTTATTTTGTGAGACTTTCTGGTCATTTTGCATCAGTTTTTGTTTGTTTTTCATCACTTTTTCTTACATCTTCATTTTGCATCACTTTCTGATAACTTTGTGTCACTTTGTGGTCATCTTGCAGCAATTTTTAGTCGATTTGGATCCGTTTTTGCTCACTTTGTGATCATCTTTTCCATTTTCAGTTCACTTTGTGTCACTTTTTATTCCTTTTTCATCATTTTTTGTTCATTCTTCCAGACTTTTTGGTTCTTTTACATGGCTTTGTAGTCATCCTGTGCCCTTTTTGTTTATTTTGCGTCACTTTCTGTTAATTTTTCGTTGCTTTCTGATCATTTTGGTCAATTTGCATCACTTTCTGTCACTTTTTATTCACTTTGCATCAGTTTTTGGTCACTTTGTTTCACTTACTGTTCATTTTACATCACTTGTTGGTTATTTCACGTCACTTTTTGGTCATTATGTGCCATTTTCTGCTCATTTTGAATCAGGTTTTGTTTATTTTGCATTACTTTTTGGTCACTTCATGTTCCTTTTCCTGATTTTTCTTCGCTTTTCTGATCATTTTGCATCACTTTGTGGTCGTCTTGTGCACTTTTTCTTCATTCTGCATCACTTCCTGGTAACTTTCTGTATATTTTGTGTCGCTTTCTGATCATTTTGCGTCAGGTTTCGCTGAACTTGCCTCACGTTCTGGTCACTTTGCAGAATTTCTGGTCATTTTGCATCCATTTTTAGTTGATTTGCATCAGTTTTTGGTCACTTTGTGTCACTTATTGTTCATTTTACGTAACTTTTTGGTTATTTCACATCGCTTTAGGTCTGTCTTGTGCACTTTTTGGTTGTTTTGTGAGACTTCCTGCTTGTTTTGCATCACTTCATGATGACTTTGCGTTACTTTTTGGCGACGGAGTGCTCATCTAGTTTATTTTTCATCCCTCTTTGGTCGTTTTGGATCACTTTGTGGTCATTCTGTGCACTTTTTGTTCATTCTGCATCACTTTCTGGGAACTCCTTGTCACTTTCTGATCAGTTTGCATCAGGTTTTGCTCAACTTGCCTTATTTTCTGGCCTCTTAGTGTCACGTTTTACTCATTTGTGTGACTTCTGACTTTGCTGTTATTCTAACTTCACAAAAGTGAAAGCTGACTTGGACAAACTGGATCAGTGTTTCCCAGAGATGACAAACATCTTGTTTTGTCCTGAACCCAGAGATGTTCAGTTCACCGTCACAGAGGAGGAATGATTTTGGACAGTTTTCTTTTTCTGTCCGTTCATCTGAAAACTGTGGAGGAACTTTTAGAATCTGGTGCAAAGTGTTTTATTTGTGGAGAACTTTTGAATGAAACCTGTAGAACAAAGTGATTCTGAGCCTTTTTATTGTGTTTTTACAGTTTGTGGCGGATGAACGGTGTCAGTTTGGTGTTGTCGTTTTTTTACACTTTTAAAAACGAGACTCGACTCGGACTCGGTGGGTTTCGTTGTTCAGACGCTTAACGAGTGTTTTAACAGCAGCCACGTGTTTGGCTTTAGTGGCTTTTTAAAAACTGCTCGTCTGCCGTTTCTTTTGTGTTTTGGAGCTATAAAGCAGACAAATTGGTCAAACTGGTGTCTGTGGTTCAGACAGAACTAATCAGAGCTCCACCTCTTGTGCTGCTTTCTAACCGGTGTGACGCCGACGTGCTGCTGCAGCTCCAGAGTCCATCCTGTGACCAGACAGCGAGCGTCTCGGTTTGTGCACTGGTTCCTGTTTCTGCTGTAAACACAACGTGATGCTGTTGATGGTGAAAACAAACCCAAACACTGACGGCGGCTCTAAAAACAGAAACCGTCCAGATAGCCGCTGCAGACTTTTTCCACTCAGACTGTTGCTGCAGCCGCTTTAGCTTCTCCCTGAACTTCACACATCTGCAGAAAAAAACATCATCTTTATGTTGCAGGAGAGTCTAAAGTTTCAGCAGCCGGCCCGTAAATTCAGATCGGACGACTCTGAGGTTTTATTTTTACCTGCCGCTCTACAGACTCTCTGGAGGGTCTCGTCTGAGAAGAAAAACCAGCTCAGAGCAGCGAGTACTTTATTCTCCATCTATTTAGATCATTAGTTCATCAGTTTGAGCACTTTCAAAGAAAAAAGCTCCTTAAATGTGAATATTTTCTGGTTTCGTTCCTCCTTTGGTAAACACTGAGCCACAGTTTAATGTTTGTTCAGTTGGAACAACAGCAAAGAACACAGACAGACAGATAGGAAGGAGCTTTATTCATCCCACTGTGGGGGAATTCAAGAGAGTGATGCAAAATGACTGGAAAGTGATTTAAAATAAACAAAGTGACGCCAAGTGGCCAAAACTTAATGCAAACTGACCAGAAAGTGCTAAAAAATTACCAGAAAGTGAAGTAAAGTGACCAGAAGGTGACACAAAATGGCCAAAAATGAATGTTCAATCGCTAGAAATTGTGCAAAAGGAACAGTGACAGAAAATGATTAAAATTGGCACAAATTGGCCAAAAATTCATGCGTAATGAGCGGTAAGTGACCCAAAATGTATAGAAAGTGATGCAAATTTACCAAGAATGTGTACAAAATGACCAGGAAGTTGAGCAAAACCTGATGCAAAAAAGTCAGAAAGTGACGCAAGTGAAGGAAAGTGATGCAAATTGACCAAAGACTGATGCAAAATGAACAAGAAGTGATGCAAATTGAGCAAAACTTGATGCAAAATGTCCAGAAAGTGACACAAAATATACAGAACATGATGCAAAAGGAACAGAAAGTGACGGGAAATGACCAAGATTGGCACAAAGTGACCAGAAAATGAGGCAAATTGAGCAACAACTGGTTCAAAATGATCATAAAGTGATGCAAAGCGACACAGCATGCCCAGCAGCAGCAGCAGCAGCAGCGTTTCCGCCTCCATCCAGGAACACGACTCCGTCCAGATCCTGCAGCCTGCTGGAACCCAGACGCTGTGGATCTGCAGACTGTGCAGACGGGAGCGTGCCAGTGAATCCACCGGCTGTAAATTAGTTTCATACGGAGCCTCGGCGGTCGCTGACGCTCACGTCTTTCCACATCGCTCTGCTG